TTTTTCTCAAGGCTGTCTCTCATTTGTCTGTCTGAAAAAGTAATCGTTCATTCAATGGTAAAACTGTCATTATGTTGACATCACAAAGAGAAATAACTTATTCTGTGTTTGTTTGTGCCAATAATGAACTACATTTGACTGTTTTTCTTAAAAGCAACCACCTCTCACCTTTGCCTCTCTCCAACATTCCCGCAGAGTGTTTGATGGCATGCTAACGATCAGAAAGACGGAGAGCACATGAAAAACAACCTTGGATAACACAAGAGATCTGTAATGCATGAGACGAGCGTGAGAGGCATTAACTCAAAGGTCAGCCCAAGTGTCACAAATCCACATTTCACTGAGCAACCTTGACTGAAACATCTTCAGCAGACTTTAATTGGAATCTTGAAGAACTTGACCAATGGGTCTGCCAAACGTATCATTATTATATCTGTGAGATCAGCTGGTTTCTGGTAGTTAAATGGGTTTAAGGGGTGATTGCAACTCAAAACCTCTGTCTAAATTAGGCTGGGTCACACTAAGCTGACCTTTACTGCAGTGTTAGCCCTTTTACTTATTCAGAAATATAGAAATAGCAGCACATCTCAACCTGGCACACGATTGTCATGGCAGCTACGATCAAAGAAAAAGAGACTGTAAAGTTTGGATGTGAATCATCTTACACTGTTACTGTATAATGTTTTGTGTAACTTGCTGCTGTTAAATACCGTCAAACCATGTGCAATATATACTTTATATACATATGCCATCTTTAATAACTGTAATATATACCGCGCTGCTAAATCCTAAGAACTGCTACAGGATTTGATTTGTAGATTTGATTTGTTTTTGATCTGTATTTTTGAAAATTATGTAACTTTTTATCTTTTTTTAGCATATTGTTTATTGTTTATTATATTATAACGTAGTACTTTTTTAACGCATTTAAGATATGCAACACTTAGCTGTCTGTGGCTCTTTCCTGCTGTAACGCTGCAAATGTCGCTCTGTGGGACTAATAAAGGGATTCTGATTCTGATATAATGACAACCTGACAGACAGGAGTTATTTCTGTTAGATAGGGGTAAGAAAAGTCACAATAAAGCTTTCAAAAGAAGTTCCATAGTTACCACGTTTTTATATCTGTTAATCTGTTAGGGCTCTTCTTTGTTTCCTTTTTAAAAGATGGGTTGTTTATGTATTTGCATAAACAACATGAGGGCGGTATGTCTTGTAGCGTTCGCTTTGCATTTCCCCTCTCAGCTCAAACTCCTCAATGGGGAAATAAGTCGAGTAAAACTCAACCTCAAGATTACTTTGGGGCCCTTTTGGTCTCACACTACTCTGAAGTAGATTCCAATACATGCAGGTTATATTCATTCATCTCTTTGTGTACAGTCCTGGTTATGAAGCAGATTACTCCAGTGCGCCAGAGGGATAATAACCAACAGTTATGACATACAATTTAATGTGAAACTGAGTATCACTCTGAGGCTGAGAGAAAATAAAGTTGGCAAATAAACTGCTTCACACGGGCTACGAGTAGTCCCTGACCAACAACAGCATGTTAATATTTAGGTCATGTTCAAACAGAAAACAACACTGCTGTAAAAAGAAAGGGACAATTGGTTTGGAGAGGTTGCCATAGGTACCAGCTAGAAGAGGTAATACAATCCAAGGAGCCCAATTCTAGTGATAGATTCAGGAGTAAAAAGCCATCAGACACTACAATACTTCACAGCTTTTCATATAAAAAAATCTATTTCCCATCTATTCATGTTACAAGCTGCTGAACCAGAAGTGTTCTCCCTACCGGCTAATGCAGTGTTGCTGTATGATGTTACATTAAGGGATACATTGATCAGTGTTTTCTTTTTCGATAGTGATGTAGCAAAAGCTTTGTTATTCCTACAGCTCTCGCCTAATCACTTCACCTATATACCACTTCATCTTTTTCTTCTGTTTTCCTCACAGACCCAAACCAACCTACAGATCCTCAACCTTTCATTAGTTAGATGTACAGTTGGTCCTCCATCTTTGAGCTTTTAGCAAGCTTTGATGAAAAACATCTTCTAACATCTATCCACCAGCTTCTGCCGACAGTCTCCAATTAAGAGAACAAGGGATATTGAAAATCTTGATATGCACATCTGAGTCACTTTCAATTATTACTGTGTGCTCATAGCTAAATGTTTAACAAGTAGCAACGAGTTCTGACTTCTAACATTTTAATAAATCCATTTTTTAGTAACTCAAATAGCTTTGTCATCAATTACAGGTTTACACGAGTAAGTGTCATGAATGTTGGCAGGAGCTCGACGGCACCTCAACACACTGTATTGTTGCATCACAAGTCTCATTGTCTTATTCAAATTGCCAAGAGTCATCATTGAATTGATGGAGGATTTGCTTAAAACATGGCCTGCCCTGTAACATTGAGTCATTTATTCTTTAGGGATACACATTCTGTTGACATAGTGTGCTGAAAAAAGCTGGGGGTGTACATTTTGTATCTTGTCTCTATGTCTTATGTTGGTGTGATACAATGCAATGACAAATACCCACCCACAGCTTATCGTGAGTTATTGCTTAAGTATATACTGTGAGTCAAGCCAACAACTGGTGCTCAATGCAGTGTGATTAAATAGACAAGCGGCATATATTGACCTGTTTCCTGTGTGTTTTTACACAGGGCTCGGGACCTACTTCGAGGTAAACATAGTTTGGTCCCATTTTCTCGGTTGCATAATCCTTTCTACTTCCCGCCACGACATATTCTACAAATCAGCAAAAAATGCAATTCCCTTAGTCATCTTTTTGTTGCCTGTTAATGCAATATCTGTTTATTCATATTTTATAACCTCGTAAGCTCGGATTCAGTGGAAAAGGCCCTCGAGTTAAATTTATTCCAGTTAATTTGACTGTGCTCTGAACTATGCCGAGTGCGTGTGGGGCAGACAGGAAAGAGAGGAACATATAGACAATAATGAATCCAGCTGTCACATGAGAACAATTATGTGTGGTGTTCTCCTCCCCACATCCATACATGATGATTCACATGTTAACTCTCAACTGCAGGCAATCCCTGAGCCTTCTCTCCATTTCTACAACCATCTTTCATTCTAATGTGCGCCATTCGTTTTATGGCAGCCTCTCAATTATTCAGTACCGTCAGCTCAATCCATATGTGCATGTACGTGGTATGCTCGCATGTGGGCTTTTTGTGCATTTGTATGAGCATACACTATAGGCACGTGTACATCTGGTAGACTAGGGAGAAAAGAGAAAGCGAGAAATTGAAAGGTGAAGGTGCATTGAGGCTAGATTTCTACTCTCGTCTGTGCAGTAAAAAATTCATTCCACCGTTGGATTTATTCTTCCTGTGTATTAGAAACAGACTTGGACCTCATGTGACCCCTGTGTACTGAACCACAGCGCAAGTAACACTATGCCTTCTATTACTGCAATCACCTTTTCACCGTGAACATGTATCTTCCCCAGGATTTCATACAACCAACAGAGAGGTGGGAATGTAATATGACACTGAGTTGGCAGCAGCTGAGAGGTTACAGAAGAGAACATCTGAACAAAAAGCTGTCAGTTTAAATTCTTGTACTGGTGAGGAATTTCTTTGCAGGAAAAGTTGAATGCTTATTTTACTTCTGAGCTCTGGCGTGCCTTTAAAAAGGTTGTTTGAGTGCTTAGAGTAGCTGCCTCTGCAACATGCTGCCTGGTGGTCAGTAGCAGCAGAGGCATAAGCAGAATACTATCTAATATAAAAGCAGGCAGCAAAACCACATGTAAAAGTGTTCAATAACAGTAGATTAGAATCTTTAATGACCACACAGCCAAGCTGGTGGAATTCGTGTTCAGTGCAGATTATTACAGCTTGTTCCATACAATTCAACATACAATAAACAGAAAATAAAAAGTACAACAACCATGTAAAAAGTCCTACAATTACATCTAAAATCTTAATTGATTAAAACATCTCTAAGCGGTTGACCAATCACAATGCGGTCCGCTAGCTAACCATCAGAGCAGACTGGGCTCTGGTTTCAGACAGAGGGTGAAAAAAGGTGCTGCAGCACAGGCAGTATGAGAAGAATAAAGACCTTTTTGAAAATTAAATTATTGAAACAACTCCCAGTGAAGGCTCAAAATACAAATATTAACCTGAAAATGAGCATAATGTGGCCCCTTTAACTGCATGATGATAATGTGTTGAATCACATACCACTGGTACTGATGTGTCTGCACTTCATTTCCAATACTCTTGTGTACTAATAGCGCTTTAAAAAGACTGGTTCACTCATATGTGCAGCCTATCCCCCATGAAGCCTTCACTTGTACCCTTTACCTTGCCTGAAGCCCGGTTACTTTACTCTGGAATAAACTCTCACTGCACACTTTGGAAACAATCTATGTTGACACTTTGAAATCCAGCCAGGCTGAAAACACATATTTTTTTCTGTTGTTGTTTTTACTTAAGTGTAGAGAATCTCTCTGGGTTACAAGAACTTAAAAAAACTGAAATGTAAGTTAAATATAGCCATTACTTTATCTCTGGTTTCATTCATAACATGCAGGCAATATTGCAAATCAATGAGTATAGCTGCTCTGTTCATTCTTAGCAGTACATGAGCAGCTACAGACATTCGTTCATGCTTTATGAAAAACAACAAATACATGTAACTACATATATCCTGGTAGAATATTTGAACCATGTGTCCTGCCTCGAAAAGCATCAAATCATTGCAAAATGATTCAAAATGTGTGAGCCAATGTTGGCCTTTATCTCTCCTCAGACCTGCTGTGTTTATGAAACATATATAGATAATTTTTAGACAGAGACCTTGACACAAAATGTACATACATGCTTGTATTTCACCTTTGAATATTGCTCATACAGTTGATCCCACACAGGAGACATCTGGACACTATGCTGAATGCACAGCCTTATTCATATATTTTCAGCAAACGCTTCAATTATTTAACCGTAGTGCTATTTATGGGACGAATGCCTTCTTCAAATATGCATGATGTTTCTATAAAGGATTTGATGTCTCCTTTGCTTCTGTGAGTGGAAGAATCCTGTGACAGCAGATCGCGTTGGGCAAGAAAACACAAATAGTAAAAGACAAGAGTGAGGTCTGTGTGTCAGGGTCTTGGTTTATTTCTGGAGGAAGAGTGTTGGCTTGCGTGACCCGCTCGGAGCACAGTGTGCTGATGGAGCTGACGCTGTAGACGGGTCCGTAATGTTCAGGGAAAACTCAACAGCTAGAGCGCAGGAACCTGAACTGAACCAGCTGGGTGTCACAGATACGTTACATTAGGAAACAAGGGTGGGAAGATTAGCAGTATGTTAAGAAAAAGCGGGTACTTTAATGCAGTTGTAAACAAAGTTATATCAAGGGCTAAAAAGAGCCTGGTTAAAAACTCAATTTTTTTATTCTAAGTATGATGAGATAATTAATTCCTTGTTACTGCAGCTTTAACAGCTTTATTAAAAATAAACAATGTGTGATGTTTGGTTTCGTCTACAGTAACTGTAGTCTAGTCAACAATCCATGATGCCCTTACTTAATTTTATAAACATATTTTGATTTTGTTACTCTCTAAAACACACAATTGATTCATCCCATTATGAAAGCTTTCCGCAGCCTCTTGTCCCTGGTGGGGTGATAAAATATATTTCCCTAAAAAGAAATTGCTTAGAAAACAACAATATTTCAGCTGTTCTGAATTACTTTCCTACCGTGGCCTCTTTAAAGTTTCATATCACATCATCATGTTGCAAAGGACGACATAAAAGCAGCCTATAAAATCATATTTCAAGTGAAGAACAGCGTGTCTATGATCTTATTTTCTTAAACCGTACAAGGGAGAAGTTGTCGGGCCATTTTCGGCTTCCTGCCTTTTATGGAGAACATTTCCTCTGTGAGTTTTTTTTAACAAGTTAATACTGTTATACAACATGGAGATATATCTGCTTTAAAGAAGATTGCAGATTGAACTTAGAGCAGAAAATGGTTGCAATGAAAATGAGAACAGGCAAGTTAGTATGCAAGGCAATAACAAAAATGACTAAACAGGAAAAGGAAAGGGGAAAACACCTAAATGTATCGGTAGAAAATCTCTCTGAAACTTTCAACTTTATGTATCCTCATTTGGCCAAGTGTTCACACTACAGGCCACAATGATATGGTAAGTGATTTATTGCGAGTGTGTTGCAGAAAAACACCAGAGCAATGACCACTTAATACCACTTGTGATGTTAAAATCAATTTAACATCACCACCTCACTGCAAAGCTTTTCTCACTTCCTCAGCAATAATAACTCCTTGCTGTGTGCAGTTAACTCTCACCCTCCTACAGTGTGTATTAATATTCAAAGTGATTTTGTCACACATGGGGCCCTCGCTCCATGGAGGAAGATTGTTAGTTACTGAACCTGTTTTTTGCACATTGAATCTGAGTCTTTTCTTCTTGCAACAAACGTTAAGAATGTAATCAAAAGATTTCTTGAAAAAAAAGTTGTTGGGTTTCAGATGGCGATTTGTAAAACCTGTATTGAACCAAAGCTCGCTAAAAAAGTGCACTGTAAGCCTTTACTGTTAATTTATGGTGAATTTTCAACGTTAACATACTGTTTTTATGTAACACAGCTCTCAACTGTTATTTGCAAAGCATTGTGGGATTGTCAATTGCAATTAACAGCACATTGACCGTGAACTCTATGTTAAGGTTAAATAAAGGTAAACTATAGTATTTTTTGGAAATCGGGAACTGGAGCCAATACGCCTGCAACTCAGAGGCACGCTTCTCATCACCATCAACCCTCTGGAGTCCTGGGGCTAATTTGGGTGTTTTCACATACTTTTAAATTGTCTTTCTTAACCCCATTTACCCATTTAAGAAATGTTTAACATGTCAATATTTTGGATCTTATGTAACCTCATCATGTAACCTGATAGTTATTTATTTTATTTGAATTCTATGTCAAAGTCTTCGTGTTAGACAACACCGACTACAAACGCTTCCGAAACCAAAACTTGCCTCGATCCTAACTCTTTTAACCTGGATAAAAGGCCAGTCATATGTCATGTGATCATGTGAAAATGTTTCTTGGAGAAAGTCAGAGGAACTGTCAACTTCCATTTCCTATGTTCCTGCACCAGTAAACAAGTGCATCAGCGGCGTGCTTCAGGACTCTGAGTAGGTGTAAGAGGTGCTGAGGGCTTGTGAGTCATCCACTAGTCCATCTGAAATGCCTGACCAAGCTCCTCCACTCCCCATCCAGAGGCTCCATCTGTGGGCCCCGTGGGCCAGCTGCTGGCCTCTCTCACGCTCCTTCAGCCCAAGCTGCTCAGGCTCGGTGCTCCAGTCGTAATCCTTCCCCTGCCGGCTCATCTCTGCATGCCTGGATCGCGAGCCTGGAAACTCGACAGACTTCAGTTAACTCCATAGCATGCCCACGCGAACCGAGCCCCTGCAGCGCAAACATTTGGAGGAAAACACGCACCTGTCTAACTCTGTGCACCTCAGAGCATGTGAATGACAGTGTGAGATAGGAAATAAAGGAGAAAGCACAGTATGAGCTGAAAATATGGGCTTCTGCTACAAGCTGGGAAAGGGGAAAGGGGGGAAGATTATTATTATTATATTTTATCACGCTACAATGTGAACATGCTGTGGTGTTGCATAAGGCTGTGTGCTCATTAGGGGTTCAATATATTCTTGAAGTAGCAACTTTTAAAAGTATGCTGCATTTGTATTCGACTATTTGATGATGAAAAATAAATAGATAAACACTTTCTGCTTACACTTTCCCTAAAACGTTATTCTCAAATGTTTTTTCGATTTAAAAATTCAGTAAGCTTGCTTGAGAGCTAGAGTCAGATATGTCAGATGACAGAGCATCCGCAAAACTTCAGACCCGACCAAATTAAATTGCATTTCATCTGCATAATGTTAGCTCCTTTGCATAGGACCTCCTGCCTGTCGACTGTCACGACTCATCCCATTTTACATCACTTTGTAATTCAGCCTCAAGGAGCAATCCTTAAAATAGTTTTCAAAGAGCTGGTTGCTTGAATTTTCTGAATCAAGCTGTGACTTTTGATGCCTTTCTAAACCAAAGAATTTATGCAGTTGCACAATTAAAGGTTGTGCTTTACCCCTGTGTGTTTACTAGGCCCATTGATTTTAAATGCATACTGATCAGCGAGAGCAGGGGTTCACTGTAGCAAAGTCAGCAGGGCCAGACTCTAAATCAATATATAAATTATATAAGAGACGTTGCTTAGTGATTTGTTGGCTGGTTCCTGGAATTGTTCATATCCTACAGGTGGAATTACAATTTAATTTCACAAGCCTATATCATTTAAGAGGTTAACTCCTCATTAATGCTGATCTTTTTTGGTGTTAGAAGGAGAGGAATGGTTTTCCCAGTTTTAGATGTTTTAATAATTCATCGGTGACATGTCCCAAGGAAATTAGTCTTTTTTTTAATATATCCCTAATGGCCCACTTAAAGGTTATGTCTATCAGATGGCTCTAACTGGAGACAGTCTGGCATTTTAATCAGCAGAAGAGATGGTAGACTATGTTGGTTTTTTTTCAAACTAATTCCTATTTCATTGATTACTTGTAAAAATTGCTTCTGTCTTGCGTGTGACTCTGCAGAGCTGTTATAAGTGAAGATGAATCACACGGACAATCAGTTTTACCTGAGTCTTAGTGAGGAATGTTGATCAGGGAAGCTTAAGCGCATACTTGTACACACCCCAATCTACGTATCTCAATACAGGAAGGAAACATTTTTTTTTTTTTTACTTTCACAGCAGTTGATTAACGTCAGAAAAAGATTGTCAACTAATTCAAAACCGTAACCCTCCAAAGCATTTGATAGGACCTGCTTATTATATTTTTCAATCCCAAACCTAACCATCCACGTGGCCCATGTGACCCCCCACGCGTCTAAAGTTTAACCAACAACTCTGTTTGCTTCACTTTGACTTTCATAACATACAAGAATGCATCTGACATAAAAATGCTGCCGGTGAATGAGCCCCATCTGAAACCTCAGTACTCTGACCATGATCCTGTGATACAGCGTTCTCTATGTAAACGCCACGTTGTGTTTTCAAGACCATATTTCGTATATCCCAAGGATGAACTTCCTGTCTAGAGAGATACTATTTTAGTGAATTAAAAGCAAAATGTAACTGGCAAAACAAATGAGTAGTCCTTAAATGTATTTTCTAAGCTCATACACATACTTGTATATAAACCCATCAATTCCCAAGGACATTTTCCACAACAGCTTCTAATTATTAAAAAATACTCACACATATGCATCTCTTGACATTTGTATGTGTTCGCCATTAATCGCCAAGAGAAAGTCCCCATATTTCTTGCGGGTAATGAAGGTGCTTATTATTTCCCATGACTTCCGACACCACAACCATTATCGTTATTGTCTTCCACGTCGTGTCGACTAAAGTTCCAGAAATTCTAAACTTCTCTTTGTCTCATTAAAATGTCGTTAGTTTTGAAAACTTGTTTGTCAACTGCTCTTTGTCTGCAGATGGCCAGAGTCAATAGGCCACATAAATGTGTAATATCCCCGTCACCCTCGGGAGAGTGATAATGTCAATCGTTTGATGCCGGGGATATAGCAAGATAAATCAAGGAATGGGGGTGGTAATGAAAAAAACATAAGAGCCTTGTAACAGATGACCTCTCAGAGAAAGGGCATAAGAAAGCTCCCGTTTTGAACATTTCATCCTCTCTGGGAAACAATGCGTGACAGCTTGGAGGCACCGGGTCTTGACAGCAAATACTGCATGTGCATCTTCTTTTTTCATAAGGATAGCACAGGTGTGAATGTTGCTGAAGTGTCTCATAATCTGATTATTCAGGGGTAACTCATACATATTGTAAGAAGAGAGAATCATATAAGGAGAGAATCCTTTAGTAGGGTTCAGTACAAAGAGGAGAGGAAGCCCAGCTACAAAGCACTGAGTGAGACCGAGGGACAGATGAGGACTCAAGTGTTATTCAGCTCCGTTCACCATCTGGTTCTTCCAGACGGGTTAAGGCAGAGGCATATGGAGCAGGATGAGAGGATGACGCCGTATTTGAATTGATAATGCTCGCACGCTCTGCCAACTTGTGTGTTCATGAAACCACTTCGATGTTTCAGTGCACTCTTTAACAACATATTGACAAAGTAACCCATGGAGCTTTAAGTTTATTGGACGCCAGGATTGTGACACATGAGCAGAGGATCCACACATGTAAGAAAAAAAGCTGAGGTGAGATCTAATCTAAAAGGAGTAACAGCAATGGCATGTTGAAAGGTCATGTGCGCACTTCTTTCCCATGAGCCTCACTGACATGGACGAAGAACCTCGTCTGGACAGCCAATCCTTTCACACGCTGACTAATCAATGGATGTCAAGTCTTTTCCACCAGTGAGATATTTCCATCACTCTGCCCGTCACATATTCAAATATTTATGCACACATCCACTCTCCAACCTGTGCAACTGAGCTGACATAATGGACTGTATAGTGGGAAAACATAGGAATCTGCATCAGCGTGTGAGGAAATGTTTTTTTCTCCCAGGTATTCCTGGCATGATGGCAGGTCTTTCAGTCTAGAATTATGTATAGCGTAACCTGCATTTTTAAATGTGTGCAGGTAGTACTGAAAAGTTGTTCTGGTGGTTGTAACTTATCTGGTTTTAACCTCTGAGGTTTACTGTTGATCTCAATTACTACTGCTGGAAAATAAATCGGACGGACAGACGTGCAATAGATGCCGTGTGTAAATCGAAGAGATAATAAATGTACTGTACAACATACAGTGGGACAAAAAAGTATTTAGTCAGCCACCAATTGTGCAAGTTCTCCCACTTAAAAAGATGAGAGAGGCCTGTAATTTTCATCCTAGGTATACCTCAACTATGAGAGACAGAATGAGAAAAAAAAATCCAGAAAATCACTGTCTGATTTTTAAAGAATTTATTTGCAAATGATGGTGGAAAATAAGTATTTGGTCAATAACAAAAGTTCATCTCAATACTTTGTTATATACCCTTTGTTGGCAATGACAGAGGTCAAACGTTTTCTGTAAGTCTTCACAAGGTTTTCACACACTGTTGCTGGTATTTTGGCCCATTCCTCCATGCAGATCTCCTCTAGAGCAGTGATGTTTTGGGGCTGTCGCTGGGCAACACGGACTTTCAACTCCCTCCAAAGATTTTCTATGGGGTTGAGATCTTGAGACTGGCTAGGCCACTCCAGGACCTTGAAATGCTTCTTACGAAGCCACTCCTTCGTTGCCCGGGCGGTGTGTTTGGGATCATTGTCATGCTGAAAGACCCAGCCACGTTTCATCTTCAATGCCCTTGCTGATCTCACGATACATGGCCCCATTCATTCTTTCCTTTACACCAGGGGTGGGGAACCTTTTTCCTCTCAAGGGCCATTTCAATTTTTTCAACATCCTCCGCGGGCCGTACAAATTATTGATCTCTGCTTAAAAGTACAACAATCACAGCCCATTCATTTGGCCTTTCTTTCATTCTGTGCAAAGAAAAANTGGAAGTAAGATGTAATGATAACCACCACGAGACAATGTCTTTTCACTTATTCAACCAGGGAAACCCCAAAAATGAGTGGATGTTGGGGCTGAGTTAAAATAAGTGAAAAGACATTGTCTCGTGGTGGTTATCATTACATCTTACTTCCAAAAGGCTCTGTTTGGTGAGTCACTTTAAACAACAGCCGCCCATCGAGAGCACTCGCTTCAAGAGGCTGGGGTAGAGGTTTAGTTTTTACGTCCCATTTCTTAACTAAACCCCAATCCATAAGACTTTCGTCCGCCCCTGAGTCAATGAGAACACCATGAGTAACTACATTGTCTCTGATTTTTACCTGGATCCGGGTCAGGGTGCAAGGAGGAAAGTCAGAGGAAGAGATCCGGCTCACCAACGTACTCCTCTTCATTGGTGAGCCTCCTCTTTTACCGGACAAGCCGCTTGTGGGTGTCCGCGCTGCCCGCAGTAGAAACACAGACCCTCCTTGAATCGACGCTGACGTTCTGCCAGCGACAGCTTGGCGCGGCCCATCTGCATTGGCTCCTCCACGGAGCCAGGGGGGCGCTGTTGTCCGGAACGCAG